CCTTCTATCTCACGTTTCTACTCATCAACGCCGGACACAACCAGACCACGCTCGAGTTCTGCGAAAAGAGCTCTAAAGCACGTATCGGCTCGTCCGTTAACTGGGATGTAGGCTGGTACCGCAACCTCCAACAAGTCCTCGGACCCACACCTCTCGTCTGGCTACTCCCCATCGACTTCGGTAGGGGCGACGGCATGAGCTTCCCCACCCATGACGAGGCCGAACTCACCGCCGAGCTCCTCCAACACTGACATCCCCGCACCACCGGCTTAACACTCAACTTCGGCACACACGGGAACACGGCACTCTCACACGAGACAGAAACCGCTCATTTAACACTCACCGAAACACACAGCGCGCACGCGAGTGGGATGCAGTCCCGAACACACTTTACTTACTTTTGGTGGCCGTCACAGCTACGATCCTGTCATCTACTAACCCACACCTACGGGTTCCCTTCACACCTACGGGTTCCCTTCACACCTACGGGTTCCCTTCACACCTACGGGTTCCCTTCATCACTCACGATTATTTCACGCCCGAAACACTTCCTCGACGGGCATGCTTAGAGAATGCACCATTGTCTACCGACTAATCAAATCAATCTGACGATCATCGGATCATTGTTTGGAGCGGCCTGTGCTCTGGTAACCATTCCGGCCAGCTTCTTGATCTGCGGCTGTCTCGACGTCCTCTGTTATGGCGACCGGATGCGTGACGTGATGCCGTGCCGCAACGGCAACTTCGAGTCACCACGCTGGAAAATCTCCAAACCTGAACACCACAATAAATGGCACAGACCCAAGTCGGGGGCTGCCGCCTGCACGGAAACTGCCGCCGCCATGTCGGAAACGGCCGCCGCCAAGTCGGAAACGGCCGCCGCCAAGTCGGAAACGGCCGCCTGGACGGAAACGGACAAGCCCCAGGTAGCCGCGGCCGCCAAAACGGAAGAAGCGGCGACGACCGGCAGCGTCACGCCGACCGAGCGTGCGATGCCACCCAAAGTCTTTGTCGCGGCCTCCGCGAAAGATCCGCCCTACGTGGGTGCCTCCCCGCATGCCGTCGCCTCGCCAGTCGATGACAGCCTCTCCCCCGTTTCCTCGGCGCGGAGGAAACCAGAGGTCATTGCCATATAGCACGCAACGGTCGGCCGGGACCTGTACACATTTTAACTACACAGGTCAGTCAGCGCGAAGGGCACCCAGCGCGAAGGGCACCCAGCGCGAAGGGCACCCACCACACACTAGTGTGGTCAGCCATGCCATTCCCACTGCTCTTCATCGTCCCCCGCATGAGTGTGGACGTGTTGGCGGTCGTCAACGATTATGAACTTGTCTGCCTCCTCATCCGTGGGGGCCCGTCGGCTGTTGTTGTCGTACACATTAGTGCGCCCTGAGAAAATGCCGGTTCCCTCGACTGCCCTGTTCCCCCGACATCCCCAGCTGCCGCCTGCTCTTTCTTCCCAGTCCGCCATGCCTCATGCTTACTGGGTCTGGGTGGGGACCTGAGGTTCTCAAAGATGTTCTCGAATTTCGCGTCTGGTGCGAGGAGACGTTGAATATGTGCGACAGGTTTGTAGAGGTCCCACCAGTCGCAGGTGATGGTGGCTGGGATGGCACTGAGGCTGTGTAGATCTTGTACGGGTCCGCCCCGATCGGCAGTGAGTAGGAGGAAGAGATTGAGTTCGACGAGTTTATTGAGAGTGTACTCAACAAACTGCGTAAGACGGGCCATATGGTCGGGAGTCATGTGAAGGAAGTAGGCAGAGAAGGCTGCGGCTGCAAGTACCTGCCGACTAGATCGACCGAGTACGACACGCCGATTCGCCTCTGCTGAACTCACGATCTCTCCCAGCACGCGCGCTATCAATACCGAACGCGTCAACTCTTCTGCGTGCAACTCCTCGTCACCCGGTGCCGTCGGTAAAACCTCAATCCCGTCCAGTGCCTCCATGAGCCGATGCGTGCCTACTCTAACACCGTAGGTCCGTGCATGTTCCTGCGCATTTTTTGGGAAACTTTCACCAAACAAACGATGCGTCTCAAAAATCAAATTCAGCCCCGTATACAAAGCACGTGCATCCGACAACTCCGGAGCCACCACCAATCCCAAATCCGCCACAGCACGCGTTGGCGCCAACCCGCTACTTCCCACAATGAAAGCCAGCCATCGCATGGTGCACTCCCAAACGCTAAGTCACTCCCAGAAGAAATGTGGCAACCAGATACGAGTTAGAGTCGTGTGGCTGAGTAGCCGGAGGGGTTAGCCAGAGAGACGATGGTTCGGAAGTAAGTCTGTCCAGAAGTTTGTGGAGTCGCAAGCGGGGAGAAGAGCTTGTGCAGCGACAACCGGAAGGCGACCAGACGAGGGTTGGGGCACTCGGGGAGAGAATCTCGCAGCGGAACGCTACGACGTTTCCTCCGAGCGCATACGTCGGATGGTGCGGCGCAGCAGACGCAGGAGGAAGCCCTATTCGCGCTCGCCTCATCGACGCTGCGCTCGCTCGCCTCATCGACGCTGCGCTCGCGGCGCATTTTCTGTTGATGGCGGCGAAACTGCCGTCCGAAAGGATAACCTGCTTGCCCGGAGGACCTCATTGGCCCTCCTGATGATCCGAGCGGACTCTTTGGGAGGCTCGCAGAAGTCTGCATCCACTACCAGGAGGCCCACCCCACGGTGGAAGAAGAGAAGATGGGAGGAAGCGACTTCAATCCACCCGTCGGCGTGGTAGGTGTGCCAAATAGGTTACTTCGATAAGGACTGCAGGCATGTGAGAGCCGCGATGCAGTAGGTGTGGTGCAGACGGCGGGCGCCACCAACGTGTGCATCATGAGACCGCGAGCTACCACCGTCAACGCGTTGCAGAAGAAAAGAAGTGTACAAGGCGGCGAAGATTAACTAACAGCAGGAGAGAGGTTTCCTTCTTTCATATAGAACGACCACCATAGGACGACATCGGACACGGCGACCACCATGGGCGAACCAAGCGTCATTGCCCTGGACATCGGCGACCTGCTAATTACATCCACGGTAATAGCGGTTGTGTAATATTTTCGGACAATGATACTCCGTGCAGCGTCCAAGTCTAATGGGTGGTTGGAGTGGGCGGGATTGATAGCAGCCTTGGTGAACCCTGAGGGGATCCTTCCCGGCGTTGAAGAGTGTATTCCTTGGATGATTGGGCTGCGTTGCCCCAGTCGTCCCACGCCGGTTGCTTTGGCAGTAGCTATGGTCCCGAAGACGTTGGTTCTGAAAGGGTCTTTGCTGGGAACATTTGACTGGCTGCACGACGCGAATGGAATCAGGTTTCTGGCGTCACCTGGAACTTGGCCAGTGGAGGCAGCGTCCTGGCAGTCGGTAAACGACTTCGTAGAGGCCCTGTTCACGGGTGGGGATAAGCGCATATATACCGACAACCCAGAGGCGACTAGACGTGAGTTGCTTGACGCACTGGGAGCACAGATGTTCGGCGCGTCGAGCCTGATGGTCGCTGACCTGCCAGTCGCGGATCCGGCGGCCGCAAAGACGGAGTTGGTGTTCTCGAAAGTCCTAACGAAGAGCGAAAGTGCCGAAATCTCAAATCAGATGCCAGTCGAATGGGGGTTTAGCACGAGCGCCAGGGTTGAAGATGGGTTCATCGCGACAAACGAGGAACGGCTAAATGAGGAGATGCGGGAGCTGCGGGAGTTGCTCAGATCCTGCGCCGAGCGTGATGGCATCGACATTATTGTGGAGGGCAGACCGCGATCAACGGGGGCCAAAGTCAGCAAGTTCCTGGGTGAAATTAACCCTCTTGTACCGACGTTCTGCACTTCCTGGCTCCTCCTTGCTGTCTTCCTTGTCTACTGTACAGTCCATGCGGTCGAAAAGCACTACGAATAAGTAGCCCACTTGTGACGTCGCGGAAGCCTCGTGGGAATCAGCCTCGAGTTGAGGCCGATGCATTCGAAGCCCGATGCCGACCAGTGGCAGTTGCAACTCTAGCTGCGGCCACAGTACTTACTGGTTGGTTTTTGACAGACTTTTTCAAAGTCATCTCATGTTCATGTTCCAACGTGGCATAGTTGACGCAACCAACTCCACCCAGACGCAAAGTCCCTCCCAGAAGGCAAAGTCCCACCCAGACGCAAAGTCCCTCCCAGAAGGCAAAGTCCCTCTCAGACGCAAAGACTCTCCCAGAGGGCAAAGTCCCTCTCAGACGCAAAGACTCTCCCAGAGGGCAAAGTCCGGAGTGCATAATTGTACTAGCTAGCTAAGTTACTGTGGGCGAAACTGGTTTTCTTCCAGGCGCACTGCGGAAGAGTGGGGCGAGTTATAGCCGCCGTTGGGCCCAATGATCGGTTCGCCCACAAACGTAGTTGCGGGCGGCTGGAGCGTAGGGTTGGGGTTAAAGCCGCGGGTCATCATGTGATTCGCGGTGCCGTAATAGTCGAAGGACGGGGCAAACCCATAGGCCTGTTGCCCGGTTCCATAGCCGGGTTGTCCAGCACCATAGCCTGGCTGTCCGTTACCGTAACCTGGTTGCTGGAGGTATTGTCCGTAGGGTGGCTGAGCATACGGCGGCTGGGTCGACCAACCACCGTAAAATTGAGGACCACTGAACCCTCCCGCGGGCCCGTACCCCGCCGCATAACCAGCCACGGGATAGGGCATCGCACCGGACTGCGCATACGGTAGGTAACCCGCTTGACTCCCCATTTGGCCACCACTCATTTGATAACCCTGCGGACCGTACTGCATCTGAGAACCATACGCTTCACCACTCACCGGACCGCTCGTTGATCCACTCGCCGGACCAGTGATCGAGCCAGGGCGGGTCATTGGATTCGAGGTAGTCATTTGATTCGGGTTGGCCGTCGGGCTCGGGTTGGTCGCTTGGTTGCTGGGGTCATAGGCAGCATAGTAGGGTCCGGTTCTTGGTTGCGAGCGTGTGCGATGCGATCGCACACGACTACCGCGTCCCGGGTCTTTGTGTCCCCCCTGGTCCTCGACCAAGCCGGGCGGCTCCGGTACCGCGGCGCCTAGGAGCGATGTCGGCGAGGAACTCGGTCCGGAACCGGAGAGCGGCGAAGGCGCCGCTGGCGAAGCCGCCGGTGGCTGCTGTCCGGGTGGCGGCGGTTTGCGGCCCGGCGACCGCTCGGTGGACGCAGCCGTCGGCTTTAGGTACGCTGGCACGCGTGTCTTGCCCGGTCCTGGTCCCAGTCCTAGTCCTGGTCCAGACCCGGATGCCGGTCCCGGTCCAGAGCCTGGTTGTAGTTGGGTCCTTGGTCGCTGGTCCCGGGCTTGGCTCTGGAAGGGCGGCTCGAATAGGTCGAAGGAGGCACGGCCCCAATCGGTCGTCAAAGGCTCGTCTAGGCCGCCGGGGCGCAGCTGACCCGCTACAGACCCAGGAACCGCCGCGGGTCCTGCCCCGGTGCCGGCGGGTCCTGCCCCGGTGCCGGCGGGTCCTGCCCCGGCGCCGGAAGGCTGCGCGGACGCGGCCAAGAGCGCGGCGCCCGGCGGGGATCGCTTGGCTGTCGCCGCCCGAGGACTCGCAGGGGTGACCGTCAGCATTCCCGGCGTGCGAGCCGGCGCGTCCGCCGGCATGGGAATCGACACAACTTCCGGACCATGCACCTGCCCAGATGCACGGCTGACGACCAGCCCCCGCAGCGCGTTAGCGTGCTGTGTGGCAGGTAGTGTGGCACCAGGCGTTACAGCATTAGCTGATAGTAGTGCAGCACCGGCAGCACTGGGTGGTAGTGTAACATTAGGTGTGGGATTGGATAGTAGTGTAGAATGGGGTGGTTGGGGCGTGGCGTTCGAAGGTTGCAAGGGGCTCCTTGCATTCCCGGGCCCGACCCTCGTGGCCCTGGGTGTTAAGTCGGACCTGGTTAGGTCGGCCCTGGTTAAGTCGGACCTGGTTAGGTCAGGTCCAGTTAGGTCGGCTCCTTCTTCGATATCGATGATTAGGTCGGGCATGGGTTTGAGTCCACGCACTTTGTTGGATTCTCGTCTGAGAGCCTGTGCCAGAGTGCTGAGTTTAGTTGTGAGATTGGCATCAACGTGCTTAGCAGATTCCGTGATGAGGGCTACGGCTTCCTCGGTTTGGTTGAGTACCTCCATGGGCGTCGTGGCAGCCAGCGTGTTCTTTTGAAAGTCAGCCAGCCGCCCTGCCGACGCCACAGGGGGTGGAGTTCTGGTCATTTGCAAAAAGTGCAGCAGCCTGGGTACACATCTACCCGGCAACCCCGTCGCGCCTTCCGTCGCACCTCGACAGCCGAGTGTCCCTGATGGTGGCCTTGCTGACATGCGTGGCCACAGTCGCACGAGCGACCGCACTGGCAGGCACACTGACAAGCAGTGGCGAACTGGCAGGTGCCCGACGGGCAAGGTGGGTCGCACTGACACACAGTGCGGGAGCGACTCGGCAACATCTGCATCGATTCAGCCTGATCTAGCACAACCGGAGCTGGCGGTGACATCACCGACGTCGCCATGACCGAAGCCGCATTGACCCCCGCGGCGGGCTGGGCCTAAAAGAGCATTGTTTAACACATCTCATGTTCAGGCGTGTTCTTACACACGTGTGTGGTTGCGAAAAAGTGCTGGCGTACCATCGGCGGTTGTTGTGCGATTGCCTGCACGACTTGCTGCTCGATGACGTCTTGGTCGGTTTGGTCGGATCTTTTAAGCCGTCTGCTGCCCCAGAGCTGACCGCGTCGATGGCGGCCAAAAAGGTAGCCGATTAGACCTCCCGTGACGAGACCTGAGACACATGCCCAGGGGCTGACGGACACCTTGGTCTCTACCAAGCATTGGCCTCCTTGAGGCAAATAAGCCGGTTCGTTTACGGACATGGATTTTCCGAAAAAAAATGGATCATGCTCCAGCAAGAAGATATTAGAAACATAAGCATAGACCCGCGGGAGCAATGTGGCCCCGCTAATGCTCCTAGCGAAGTGGATCTCCGCTACTTCGATCTATCAGCTCTGCCTTTAGTTGGCATCCTCAGCCGGAAGGAGAATACGATGGTCTTACTCGTGAATAAGGAAGGCAAAGAGCTCGTTGTAAAACTCCACCACTCCGTACCCGGCAGTCCAGTACCCACCGAAGCTTCGATCACACAATTCATACGCCAACCCAGAGACGACTTTGCCAGAGAGATTGCCGTTTTATCACACCTCCAATGCAACACCTCCAGTAACGTCGTCAAATTACTTGGCTGGGGGGTGGCTCAGACATACAAAGGAATCGTCCTAGAAGCCATTCGAGGCCCCAGCCTTCAAAACGTATTACTAAAACCTAATGCTGAATTCAACCCACCACCGTTTCTGCAACTCCTGTATAGACTCAATTGGACCTCACAGGTAAGATCACTCCCTCTACCCTGCAGACTTCCTCTACCCTCTACCCTACAGTCCCTCCCCCGAGTCAAATTCAGTTTCAATGTAGTTGAGCAGAATAGTATCGGAGTTGCACGAGATGAATATTTTCCATGGTGAGATACTTGCTGAGAATTTCGGATTTCGTCTAGCCCCGTCAAACTCTGTATTTGGTCGACTGACGGTCTTTGATTTTGACGAGGCATCTCAAATGGTCCGGCATAGTCCTGAGCTGCAAAAATCTGCTACGAGATTTTATGACCATTTCCGGGAGTTTGCTCAAGAGACTGGTTCACCCTGTCTGCCCACGGATCGGACGCAATCGACCACGGACTTGATGACCTACGCTCTAAGGTATACAGACGCGGTAATTCTAATGGACAGAAATGGTCGTACATCGCCAGCTTACGCTGCGTCCCGGGGAGGAGGGCCATCAAGGTCGCCACGTGAATCTGGGAATAATTGCTCTGCAATTGGTGGTTCCGGTGTTGGCGGTTCGCGAAATAATTCTCCACATAGTTCCGTCGCTGGCAGTTCTCCAGGTGGTTCTCCAGGCGGCAATTGTCCAGGCGGTTACGCAGGTGCTTGGGATGTGGATGTGTTTTGCGATCACCGACCGAACCGGCCGCCACCGATTGCTGCGGCGTCCACCAGTAACCCGGGTCCACCGTGCAAGTTGGTACAGGCACCAGGACGATCGCAGGACCCGACGCAGCAGTTACGTTGCGCGGAGCATGGACGCGCGGCAGGACAGTGTGTGTGTCCGTCCTGTGAGTGCAAAGAAGGCCGTGCGGAAGTGTCTGACTTGGCGTTGTTGGCGGTGGCTTGTTTGGGTATGTGGGACAGTGGGAAGAGTACGCTGACGGAATGTCCGGGTTGTCGCAGACGACGGCCGCTTTCGACCAAAAAGTTGCAGGAGTGGATTGACGCTGTTGGCGCTTATCTGGACAGCCTTATCCTGCTACGTTCTGGCGGCACGGTCTTCAATGTGAATGATGTGATCGCAACGGAACTCTACTCCCAGCCGCATATGTTCAAAGCCGTCGTCTCCTTCAGCGACCACACCGACTGGGGTAGCAACGGTGGTAGCTACGCTGCTACCTCAAGCAACGGAACCGACGAGCACCGAGACATGAGCTCCGGCTCCTCCGAGTTTTCTCGCGGACGCGCGGGCCGACCAAAGATGGTCGCTACGAGTCGAAGCGCCACCAGTCGAGGTACCGTCACCAGTCGAGGTACCGCCGCCACTCGTGGTACCGCCAGTCGAGGTGCTACCAGTCGGGGTACTGCCGGCTACAGTTCTCGGACTGCAGGCTCAGAGTCCGCTTCCCGATCGGGCACAACCGGCGAGGTTCCCTCGCTGGCTTCGCTATTGCGGCTCCGGCAGGGGTGGGGAAGTTTGGGCGCGAGAATTGCCGACCAACTTTACTCGCTGATGCACCGCGCTCTCAGTCAAGACATAATGTCGCGACCTACCGCGCGCGAAGTCGATGACGCACTCGGACGCATCTTCAACGCTCTACTACGCTTCACAGCACGCTTCGCCGTCGTCCCAAAACTCTCTGCGCACAAACTTAACGACCACTCCACCACCGACCACTCGCTCCGCCGCCTCCTCCAAAAATCCATCTACACTGCCGCCACTTGCAAAACACCAAGCACCTCCTGCGGCTCTGAACACCACTAGCCGCGGTCCAAACACCCCCAGTTGTCCAAACGCTTCCAGCAGCGGCGCGCCTCTTAATATTTTTTCTCAAGTCTGTCATAGACACGGTTAACTTGTGCACCGCCCCTGGACTACCCGACAACCACTCACTCGTCTCCATCCCCGCCGGCGGCCATCACCACCCGACCCCTCTCGCAAGCCCTTGTCTCGCCGGCTCACACAAGCTTACCATCTGTCAAAGACCAAGCACACGATCCGTCAAGACCCGCCTGGCTCACGGGGGGGAACGCGCTCAAGAGGTATCCCGGGACGTGTCGCTCGAGGGCGACCGTTAAGGAGCTCAACGAGTTCAGAAGAAATGGAACGGCTTCAACAAAGAACAGTTCTTCAGCTGAAAACTGTGTTCTCCGGGCGCGGGTGCTCACACTGTCTGTGTCAAGTGGAAGGTTGTGGATTTGGAAGGTTGTGGACCTGGAAGGTTGTGGACCTGGAAGGTTGTGGACCTGGAAGGTTGTGGACCTGGAAGGTCGTGGACCTGAAAGGTTGTGGACCTGGTTATGGCATCTCAACGGAGGTTTCGCAAAGCTGTGGTGTGCGATAGCAGAAATGTTCCAAAACTGCTTCGCAAATGCTGGACCTAATGCAAATGGCGGTTGGGGAGGGGTCTGCCATGGGCGGCAGCGTCTTTGACTGGTCTTGAGAAAGCAATGTTTGATCGTCGTCCACCCAGGTCCAGAGGGGTCCGACTTTGGCCAAAATTCGTTTGCGGAAGTCTGACTGGTACGCCAAGTCGTCGGGGTTAGCTGCGACTAGGCAGTTGTCGAGCAGTTCCAGAAGCGAGGCCGTGTACAAGTACTGCAGTCGCTTGCGGGATCCAAGGAGTTGCGAGATACCGGATAGGGAGTAGAGCAGTCGCGAGTACTCGGAATAAAACTCACGGAATGGTTGCACCTCAGACCGGAACACAGTTGTATTTAGTTCGTCCGTTTCGAAGCATTTCTGCTTCGTCATGGCATCCACGATAAACCGACGCAAACCACCTGACCAGAAGACGTCCGACATGATGATGTATGCGGCCGCAGGCACCATCCCCCCCAGCGGCATCACTGGCAACAACAACAACAGCAGAAGCAACATTTGGGACTGGGTCAAACACGCACTTTCCGCGCAGGTCCGGAACCAGGACAGGGGTCCGGCACAAGCGAGCCCATCTAATCAGGCCTGGCAAAGGGGGAAGCTTTCGGGTCTGACCAAGGGGGTGGGGAGGCAAGGGGAGCTCGGAGCAAGAAAGAGAGCTTCCGGGACCGGGCCCTGCTCTGCACGTCGTCAGGTCCAAGATTTTTTATTTGAGGAGAATGACAACGAAAAGCTTTTTAAAGGCTCGGTTCACTGCCGCGCTGGCACATAAACATGGCGCAGCGACCAAGACGGTTGTGACCAACTCCCTCGAAGAGGTGGAGTCAAGGTAAGCCTGCATGCCCCCTATTGGAGATCGGCGAGCGGCTTTCACTAAGGCTGCCTTGAGCACGAAGCACAAAACCGGCTTTGTGTACCAATACGGTTGTCCCCACGGTTGTCCCAAACACACTTACGTGCCCGACACAGCCGCTGGGGCTGTCGGAAGCCGCTGTGGCTTCCGTAGCCTCGGACTCCCCACCGGTTCCACACACGTGTGTGCACACGCGAGACAACCTGTTTGTGTTAGATTGAAAGAAAACAAGCAAGTTAATAAGCCCTCTAATCGAGCGGAGTCAAATAGTGCTGGCGAGGTAAAGGGTACGCTCGTCCGCGAAACGGCTTTAACTGAAGAAGATTTGAAGGGTTTGATTATTAAGAGAGAGAAGCCAGGCAAACCTGCTGCTGCAAAGAAATTCATTGACAAGAAGCCAAGTGCGAGAGTGATCGGCGTTAACTTGCTCGAAGAGCTATATAAGAACGAACAGGTCGGAAAGGTTCTGGCGACCAAGGATTCCACTACCACCGCCACTGGTAAGCCAGTTTATTGTGACACACTGGTATAGGGTTCTAGTGCACCCTCGGGTGAAAACTGACAGAGGGCGAGAGCCTCGGGGGGTGAGAGTTTAAGATTTCTTTAGACGACGAGGAGTCTGTGGGAGAAGAGACTCGTCTGGCGACTCAGATGAGATCTTCGTTGCGAATCCATGTTGGGCATCGTACGCCCCGCGTGAACAAGCATGTCTCTTTCTACGGTGATGGAGGGGCTGAATGCACACACATCTACCTTTACGAGGCGGTGAAGGTTAGACTGCCCTGGACAGGCCCAAAACTGGAAGGTAAGAAAGAAGACAAGTCCGGTCAGTGGCTTCGCCAGCAGGCGATGGCTGCAGGAGCTGTGAGAAGTGCTGCTCGACCGCGCCTGTTCTAATGGGGGTGCAACTTCCAAAGCGCGCCTGAAGTGAGTGCGCCGCCTGAAGTGAGTGCGCCGCCTGAAGTGCGCTCAAGTGAAAATAGAATGAGTGCTGAGAATAGAGGTATGGCCGAGGATGAGGATTGGGCCAGAGAATCAGGACAGGAAGGGTAGGCCCCTGGGAGAGGCCAGGTAGCCAGCGAGAAGGCGACAAAGCAGGTTTTGAATCGCAGTGCCTGGATACCTGTGGGCCGCCACACGGCCTGTCTTGCGATATGTCCCCGAAAAAATGTTGCTCACAGTCCTAGCAGTACAGGGGTCCCGGCAGTATAGGGGTCCCGGCAGTATAGGGGTAGCCACATAGAACTGAAGAGATTTACATAGAGTCGAAGGGGTCGCTCCTCAGTTAGTGGTCCAAGTGCCAGCCAGCTGCCTGTCGTGGAAGATTATGTCGCCTTGTTGACCTGAATATGTCGACAGACTATATCGATTGGTATTGAACCGAACTGCTTTTATTTAATACGCGAACTAATGCCTAGGCTCTGACGCCTAGGCTCTGACGTCTAACGTTCAGACGTCTAACGTTCAGACGTCTAACGTTCAGACGCAGAGTTAAATCAGTGTGGGTGAGTTGGTCCTCAGATTCTAAATATTCGGTTCCATCCATCACGCAGGTCGCCCAGAAGTCCTTGGAGAGGCGTGTGGGCTGAGGAGGTCCGAGAGGGTGCCGGTGGCTGGGTACTACTGTAGGGTTGTGGGGCTCGGGGTCGGATCTCCGCCGGCGACGCGTCCCGAGTTCCCCCCATTCGTCGAGACTGTGTGGTGGGCGGTGCCATGTTGGGCGGTGCAGTGTTTGTTCGATTGTCTGTGCGGCCCACAGAAGTCGACGGTCGACGTCCTGAAGGGCCAGGACGAGTGGGTGAAGGACTGCTGGCCGAGGCGTGGTTCCCAGTCAGCGACTGTTCTGGTCGCTGGTAGGCGAACTGCCCGCTGCTAAAGGGTCGCTGGGACCTAGTGGCCGACCTGGAGGATATTCCGGTTGATCCATTACGAGTAAGGGAAGCTCCGTTAGAATAATCGGTAGAGCCACGATGGCCGGGAGAAGACCCCTCAATGCGGACAGATCCCTGAACGGGGGCAGACCCAGGAATCGGGGGAGACCTATGAATGGGAGCAGACCCATGGATGGGAGCTGACCCCTGTCTAGAGCGCAGCGACTCCATACTATTCGGCGGAGAACGCATCCTCATGGGAGAAACACTTGAGGACCCCGGGTATCGTGCCGAACTCTCCGACGACCCACTCGTGACGGTGCGCAAACCTCTGCTGGCCTCCCGGTTGTTGTTGTTGTAATTGGCCACATGCGCATACGATGGCTCATCCCTACTCCCCGTCACTGTAAACGGTCGGGCTGCGTAACCTCCCTGACTGACCATTGACGGGCGCAAGTTCCCTGGACTAGGCCGAACACCAGTTTGCGTCGACTGTACGGGCCGGGAAGGAAACCGGGCAGGCAAGGTTGTGTTTTGGTAGGTTGCATTTGGACTCTCCCGGTTTTGACTCGACAAGGAACGGCTCAAGTTTGACTGCAGCACATCTCGTCTCCGTTCGTAAGCCTCATCGTCCGTCGGCAATTGGAACCGGCATATACAACAGGTATTGTGCTAAAGAATACGCAATCAGTGACCACCATGCGCCGTTGGCAAGGAGAAGTGTGTGTGACTTAAAAATAGTGTTTCACATGCTAAGTGTTTCACTAACCCGTTCTAGCCAAGGTACAATACAGCGTGTGTGAAAGAAGTGGGGACAAAGGCTCCTGTCCCGGGACATGTGGGTGACTTCCTCGCCCGCCTTGAATTCATCTTGACAAATGGCACACTCCTCGCCTGCCTTGGCTCTTTCAGGAGTGAGGACTTCCTTTGGCAGACTTTCTAGTACCGACCTTGCAGCTGGAGGCGGTCCGTCGCTACCTTGTTGCTGGGCCAGGATGTAATATACAAGGTTGTGCAGATTGTCCCTGGTTATTCGAGTCATAGCATCCCTGCATCACAGATGATCACTTGCCATATTATTTCTTACGGTAGGAATTGTAGAAACGAATCTGGTGAGCCTAGAAAAGCAGTTCCGACTGATGGCCCTCCCCTTGTAATCACGGTGATCCGCCGGTCGGGCGAACTAACTGGAGAGAGTTACAATCGGGCAGTTTGCCGGGGCTGGGGAGGCAGCTTGCCTGGGTGTCCTCTTGCCCGGGAGATGGTAGCTTACTTTCCATGGGTATGTCTCGCATTAGGGCGGAGAGTAGGGTAAATGGGTTTGCGTAGCGGGCTGCTTCTTCTCTTTCTTGTTCGCTAACCGTGCGTCGCATTCTGGGGGACTCCGCTTCTTGCGGATCCAATTCTTCTACGAATCCGACGATACCACAACGCACACAGGCAAGCTCATTCGGACCTGTATGGACGGCCTGAGTTCGCCGTCTACAGGCGTGACAAACGTACATTTTCCAACTACCTAAAATCCCTGTAACCCTTTTTGTTAATCCCTGTTCTCGGTTGTGTGGGGGAGCGAGCTTGAACTTCCAGTTCCGATTACACGAACCGATCGAGCGATTTTTAGTTGAGGTCTAATGCGTTAATTTTACGAGAACAAAATGGCTAATCGACGAACCAGTTTACCGGCACGGTTCTCTAGATTTAGTGACCTACTGGGTGGATTTACGGAAACCACTGAAATAGTCAGGCCGGTAGCGCGACCATGTGAAGACGAAAATACACCCTCTCCTACGTTCCGAAGACCACCGCCCCCTTCGCCTCCATGCCGAAGACCCTCGCCCATCACATCACCGGAGGACGGCCAGCTTTTCATTACTAGTCTGCTCGGCTATCAGGGCATGGTATGACTAACACACCAAAGCACACACTCCCCAGTTCTATCAACCGACCGGCACGCTATATGCACGACTACAGGTTATTACAAAAGAACCTCAAGGATGCCATAGGGCTATATTAGACGCACTGCCCGTCACTAGTTATGAAGATCATCATGGTAAGCACACCTTAATCTAGGGCAATCCGTTTCTGTTCAGCTTCATTTAGGAATTACTGCATGATCTGTTTAGAAGAATTTAATCAAGGTGACAAAATAAAATGGCTGCCGTGCGTTCATCATTTTCACAGCCGATGTATTAAGAAGTGGCTAAGCACGTAAGAACTCACTCACTACCTGACACACTAATTTGCTACTGACTAATATTGCCGACGAACATTTTGGTTGCTGACTTAATGAGTAACATTTTGGTTGCTGGGTACACACAAATAATCTTTATCGAGCAGATCTGTTAAATGTCCGGTTTGCAAATGCAACGTGGAATGTCCCAAGCTGTTACATATAACGTCACCCATCCAAAGGAAAGCGACGACTGCATTGCAACGTCGAGTAATCTCCTAAACTCTTAATGAAGGTCTGCCTGCTTGCTTGCATTTTCTGTCCCTTTTTCCTTTGGCAGAATGAATAGCTTTCTGGGCGGACTGCTCATGTAAGAGCTGGCCTTTTTTTCACATGAATAACTATGTCCTTCTGCCCGATTCAATTGGCACTCCAATATACTATGTTGATTTCACCACGTGGTCTACAATTTCACCGCCCCCCAGAAATTCAAGTCTACAACATAGAAACGGCAGGGGGACTGACTTTGGATGCCAACAATCTCTGGAGGGGCGGAGCAATTCAGATCAGAGGAATAACCAAAATACTTCAACAGGCAAGAATGGATCAAATGAGAAAGGAGAATCAGGACAAGGAGATTCACGACAACGAGGTTCACGACAAGGAGATTCACGACAACGAGGTTCACGACAAGGAGGTTCACGACAAGGAGGTTCACGACAAGGAGGTTCACGACAAGGAGGTTCACGACAAGGAGGTTCACGACAAGGAGGTTCAGCAGATTCGCATAAGAAGCCTCCTCAACAGAAGCATCAAGTGCCAGCCATTACGGTGATCCCGTCCACTACAGACTTGCCATCGACAACAGACCAAGAGTATTCAATGAAGAGGCGATCATCAGCAGCCTGGGGATCTTCTTCGTGCCGGGCGGTGGCTTCCTCGGCGGTGGCTTCTCCGGCGTGTGCGAAGCCTTTTCCTCCGCGGGCCAGCGGACGGAGGGTCTCGAACCCTACAAGTTCAGCCGGCCCGGACAGTAGCAGCTTCACAACGAGCAGGGGTTTGGCGACTGGCAGGAGTGTAGTAGGAAGCGTGGCGGCCGGTAGAGGTATGGCTGCAGGTCATATACAGTCTCCAGTTTTCTCTGGACGAAAATATCTGGTGTACGCCGGCAGTGTGGAGGAAGTTACGAGTGAGGTCGACGACTCGCTGCGGCTGGATCCTTTTCTCTCGGCGCTGGGGAGCGCTCGGATCGCAGTGGATCCGGAGCCGTTGAATTGCGTGTTCTGCCGTGGTTTTGGTGGTTGCGTCTTCTGTCCGGGCAGTGGAAACGGTACGATGGCTTGTGGTGACCTGAGTGGTGTGGGAGGGGAGTCTTTGGGTGCCATATTCAACGAAGTGCAACGGTCAGTGCGGCAGTCTGTTCCGTACAAACGGATGTCTCTACCCACTCGATCTGTGGGCGTTAGTCCCGAAGGCTTCACGGCACGACGGGTCTTCATGAGTGAAGGCAGCTGCGAGGAAGACCTCTACCCGCCCCACATGTATGAAACCTCGCTCTACTATGATAGCTCCTCGGCCGATGAACCGCGCTACCGGCGGTCCTCGCGCTCTTCCCAACCCCGTTCGCCTCCTCCGCCGCGGTACTCCTCTACCGACACCGAGGCACGGCCTTCATCCGTCGGCAGTCGAGACAGTCGGGACCTCGACAACCGGGGTCTCGACAACCGGGGTCTCGACAACCGGGGTCTCGAGAACCGGGGTATGGAAAGGCGGAATCTGGACAGTCTAGGACGCCCCGGACGGGGCGGTGAGGTGGTTGCGACCGACTCTGTGCTGGGAGGCAGTCTGAGTAGTTCAGTGTACAGCACCTCGTACTCGTCTACGGCAGATCGGTCGTGGGAGAAGCGGGAGTCCTCGGTCGTGCCTCTAGAGGACCTACGGTCGACGCCCTTCGGGACTGTGGGTACTCCGCCGCCCGTTGCTTGGCATGCCGAAGAGGAGCTGGAGTTGTACGAACAGAGCATCACGCTCCTCCCGTGGATGCGGCCCTACCCCACGTCGCATCCCACCGGTGAGGGGGGCTCGCGACGGTCCTGGCGTCATGAACGCCTTAGTCACGAACGGCGGTCCAGTCAAGAACGCCCAGGGCGGGATCGGCGGTCCAGTCATGAACGGTCCAGTCATGAACGGTCCAGTCATGAACGGTCCAGCTATGAACGAAACAAGGTCCTGGTTGCTGGGCTGGCTGGGGTCACCCGGAGGCGAGGCTTCGGCGACCCGGCGACGCCTGAGGAGGGCCGGTCGGGTCAAGACCGGTTAGTTCAAGAGCGGTCAGCCAGCGTTCGTGGGGGCGAGATGGACTCGGCAGGAGGCGCGTGCTGCACACCCACGCCGACTGGGGCAGTTCATTTAGGCAGCAGCGCGGTTTCATCTGCGGGTCCGACGGGTGTGTGTCCTGCTCCGACGGAGTTGACGAAAGATACTGGGGAGTGGGAACGGGTGTTGCATTGGGCGAAGGGGACGGGTTTGTTGTTGACGAAGGAGCACGTAGACTTCCAGACGAGTGTGATCTTGATGGAGGCGGCGGAGCGTCGTTTAGCGGCTAAGCCGCGGGTCCAATTCGGGTACGGGTCGCGCCTATCGGGAAAGAGTTCGGGCACGGATGTAGGTGCCGCTCCGCCTAAGAGTCTGCTTAAGCGGTATGGGTTGTTTCCCCGGTCTGGTGGAGGAAATTCGCGGTCGGGACTGAGGTCGGGATTCCGGCCTGACAAAGGACCTCGTTCGGGACAGCAGCAACTGAGCCGGCTGAATTCGCTAGGCCAGATTTTGCGGAAGCACAAGGGCCACTACCGACGTGTGTTGGGCGAGAACCGGTACCTCCGGGCTCGGAAAGGCATCCATGTGTGGGTGTTCTTTTCCAGCAACACACGCCTCGATCTGTACAAGTTCTACATATCCAACGAAGGTGACTTCTTAATCACCCGATTGCCCGTACACCAACAACGGTACCAACGACCCCCACACGAATGCTGCTCTGAAGTCGCCAGTCCTGAGGAGGACCGCAGTGCCCGCGAACTGCCCCTCGAACGACTTCGGGCCATCGATATTTCTGTCAAAGTCCGACGACTTCTTAAGGAACCCATGCTACTCCATGTCAAAGCCACCACCATAGCCGCCCTCTGGAACGACCAATCCACCGAACCACTAATTATCGCCAGCGACCGTCAGGCCGACATACAAGACATAATTTTTCTCATCAGGTTCATTCAACAATATAGAGGGCTCGAACTAGCCTATATATTTTCTTAAGCACGTGTGCGCTCAATTCCGCTACTCAGCTAACCCAAATTCATCTCAAGAAGAAGACGTCCCAATACCCGACGCGCAAGATCAACGGGTGGGTAACTTGATCGTCCCCAAAGAACCAAAGGGCAAACCAGAGATCAAGACCGCAGGACATTCCACATGACAAATGTTCAGTATTTACTCTTCTCGGGATCAGTTATAGTGCACAACAATGACAGTTCCTTATCCTTGATAGCCCGATACGGATTCCGAATTCTACATAGCGGGGTATTGTCATAGTGGAGTATAGCGATAGAGGGGAGGAGTAATCATAGTGGTGGAATATGATCATAGTGGTGGAATATGATCATAGTGGTGGAATATGATCATAGTGGTGGAATATGATCATAGTGGGGGAATATGATCATAGTGGGGGAATATGATCATAGTGGTGGAATATGATCATAGTGGTGGAATATGATCATAGTGGGGGATATGATCATAGTGGTGGAATATGACCATAGTGGTGGGAATATGATCATAGTGGTTGGAATATGATCATAGT